CGAAACATTGAAAAACTGTTAAAAATCTCACGCACCTGCGCATGAAAGCTGAGTTCGAAACCTTGAAGGGTACGGAGAACCTGAATTTAAATTTGCGGGACCACATGTGGGTAAGGAATGTTCCCTTAAATTTTAAGCTTCCTAGCTTTTGTGGTTCCCGAATTGAAAGTTGCGGACAAGTTGCTGCGGGCACACACACACACACACACACACACACACACACAAACACACACAGACAATCTCGTGACAATATGCGTTTTGTACTGCTGTTACACAGCATAAAACGCATAAAAATATAGCATTTTTGTCTGGAGAGGTAGTTTCACTCTTGATCTTATTTTTCCACTGTTTCAAACATTATTTTAACAAATGAAATGCGAAAAGTTAGGCCATCAGTGAGATCAAATGATCCAACGATACGTCTACAAAATCGTGACATGTATTTAGAAGGCGCAAAAGAAAGTAAGTGAATGCAGAGATGTAAAAAAGCAGTGAAACAGAAGCTATCCAGATTTTTAAAAAGATGCAAAATTCGAATATCCACCATAAGTACTAACAATTATACAGGACTTCGTAAGAAGAAATAATTTGTTTTTAGGCGTTAATTTTTTTGGGTATTCATAATCCTAATAGAGTTCAACCTGGCCACAGGTGGACCAACGGGGGCAGGAGGAGGGGAAAAAGGTCTCCTCCCAAGCGGAACAGGCATCAGTGCTGCAAAAGCCCTGGTCTAAGGCTAAAATTAAAGCAAACGAAAGAGTAAAGTAACTCTAAACTACAGTAACTCTAAGTAGCAGTGTTACAGCTCTATTCCTAGTTTTTGCATAGTTTCAGGATGGGACGAGATCCTCCTTCCCACCCCTGTCGCCTCCCCCCCCCCGACCAAGTAATCTGACTTGGACGCACCTATGAGTCTGACCAGTGTTTTGTAATCCAATAAAACTTAAAAGTCTATGTGCAGTATGCAGGAATTATTGCCGCGTGAGAAAGTAAAATCCGATGAGCTGAGCCTGTCGCTTGCCTTGTTGAAAACTGATAGATGTGGCGCATTAGTGAATCGTAACAGCGAGAAAACTGACCCTCAAAGGGAAGCGATGCTTATCCATCGAACAAAGAAGGTAAGCAGTAACTGGAGCTATGTAACTCAGAGCCGAAGGGCCTAATACAGCTATGCCTAGCGAATAAAGGCATTATAATGGGATATTTCAATAACATAATTAACATGGAATATACCCAATACGATCGTCAGTCGGTCTCGGCATTCCTCGTTTTGGTAATCCTAGTGATTTATTTAATCCTATGTTAAGCTTCTACGGATCTCCATGTAGTAAATGCCGTGAATTACTACAATCAGACTTCACAGCCTCAACTCTTCCTGCCAGACCTCACCCTTGTGGAGCTTTAAGCTGAATTAAAAAAAAAGTCACTTGGAACATTAACCATGAGACGACACCTATAAATTTTACCGGTTCATTGGCTGTGGCAACTGTCTTTTGCGCTTTTATTGAATATTCTTTGTGAATTCGTTCATCCAACAGTGGGCGAATCCGACTGAAC